ATGTAGAACCTTCTCCGCCTCCACCGTATCGTCATAAGAGGTCCTTAATTTCTATTCCCCTCTCTTTCTAACACTTTGAAAACTATATTTGCGTCTCGCTCTACGTCCCTAAGTACATTCCTTTCGCATTTATGACCCATACAAGTAAAGAATACGGATTTACTTATCTTTATTTTATTAGGATTTTTAGTGGAAATATAATATTTACGGTTTTCTTTAAATATTTTATCTTTTACACATTGCATTGTATAAAGGAGCAACGTTGATTTTAAGCTGTAATAAATGTTTAAAAAAAAATATAAAAATCTAAATTTCACTCTTATCTATTTTGTCTCTTTCTCTCGAATTGTATTTACGCTGTATTAAATAAAAAGGGTGCGTGTACTTATGTACGCGCGTAAGAAGTTATACTTCTTTGGCATTATTAAAAATAGTTTTTGATTGCATGCAAATAATTAATTACAATTAAATAATCAAAGACTGGAAAAGGAGTCATTAAAGTCAATAAAGTTCAGTTTACATTTGAAAAATTAATTAAATAAATATTTATTATTATTCTCTTACATTAAACAAATAAAACACTATTTATCTTTAAAACATTTTTATTTCATTATACTATTTATTTTTAAGTGACTCTAATGTCTTCATCAGAATTTCGGTTTGTAATTTTAAATTAATCATTACTTGGTTGTGCATCTACGAGGCTTCTCCAAAACTACTTGCTTTCTGCAACAAATAAGAGAATATTAATTTAAGCTCTGTCCATGCAAAACTTAAATTTTTTTATAATTCATATTATAAATTTTTTAACACATTTATATTAATATAATTATATAAATGTGTTAATAATATAATTTGTAGCACATGCTACAGACCTGGATAGCAACTTTCTTTTATTCTATTTAGAGATAGAGATAATTTAAATATAATACCGGTGTCTTCCTTGTAGGTTTCTTTGGAGTTGTTTGGGGATTCTTGTTGTTCAGTTCGACATGATTTTCTTTAACCTTTCTTTAATCCTACAAAATAATGAAATTGTTAAGTTATGTTGTCACTGTTGTGCACACCTTTGTTTGGCTTTTTTAGTATTCAAGTTATGTCAAAACTGATTTATTACATCTATCATTGTTGGCTTTATTTGCTTTTGGGATATCAATTGTTTCCAAAATTATTTTATTTGTAATAACCTGAAATATATAAATAACATCTATTAATTTAAGTATCATGGTAAGTGGTTCGCACTCAGGTATTAAGGTGTATTATACCCACTGTCCATTATAAGTGGGAATGGGCTCACTTCTGGCAGGACAGAGTTTCGGTACTACAAGTGCAACATGGATGTTTTGAGGTATTACAATATCTCTAACTACCCTGTAGGGGAATAAAGTAATGTTGTAAGCATATGCCTATGCTTGAAAGGTTGAACCTTGAACATCACCATACATCATATTTATAATTAACATTCCTACCTCGACACCATCACAATCAAATTCATTGAAATCTACTTCAAACCATTGTGTCTCGAGAAGGTGATGGTGGCTTTGTTCCACCTCCAGTTTTTGATGTTTCACGGCGATAAGATGACAACTCTTTTTTTGTATTCAATTTAGTGCACTTCCACTGATTCATCAATTGTTTTTTGTCTCTTGTCCTTATATTTGCTAGATTAAATCTGATGTTTTGATTAAATAATGTGGTCATTTTTTTTGAGATGCAGGTACTTATTAAAATGTTTACTTCTCTGTTATATCGCTCCAAGCCTTCATTTTCTCCTTATTAGTATTCGTGCTTAAATCTTTGTTCTCAATTATTGATATATAGGGTCGTAGAATATTTCTAAAAAGTTGCTGTAACAAACGCAATAAACAAAAGCAATGAATAATGGTTCATGTTTCAGTTTTAATCAACAATAATACTCGATAATACATACGGATAGTTAACCTCAATTGTATTGAAGCACTCAGGAAGGTTAGCACAGTTTTTTCACAAATATTTTATATTATTTCACAAATATTTTGTATAATGAAAATAACTAGGTATATAATTATTAATTTTAAACAATAATTAAAACTCCTATATTTGTTTAAAAGGTAAATGTCATTGTCAGATGTCAATTGTCATGGTCATTCAAAATTCTTGTTAAGCTGCTAAGCTAGAATATGCGTGAAGTTAGCTTCACGCATATTCTATTTCTTTTACTTGTAGTTTGTCTTATTCCCATCTCGCTCGCGCACGCTATATCACACTGCCAATTTTGTGTCATAGGTGCGCGCGCAATCGTAAAATTTCACTCTCATCAATTTTTCATAACGCGCCTAAAGAAGTACAACTTCAAAAAGAGACAGAGAAGTTTAGTTCAATCTGATTTTGGACATGTTGAACCTACGTAGATATCCGTAGACGCATGTAGGCATCGTAGCACGTCTACGAATACCGTAGAGCAGTAATTCCGTTTTATAGGAGAATTTTTTTATTAAATTTTTGAAGATAATTTTAACATATTGAATGTTATATTATATTATATATATATTTATGTAAACATAACAAATTTTCTTAAATTTCTGTATCATTAAGGCTCTTCGAAGTTCTGACACATACCGTCGATTTTTAAATGTTTTCCATACAATAATTTCCCTCACTTTATAAGAAAATCATTTCATTTTTAACCTGACGTTAAGTGACACCGCCGCCTATACTCTTAATACCAGAGTGCTCAATGCGTTACCAGCCTTTTAAAAATTTGTACACTATTTCTTCAAGGACGAGAAGGAAGAAATTGGGACGAAAATACTTCTCTCGCCAGCTGGTTCCACTGGGAAGTGTGCAGCAAAAACTGCCTTAAAAATACTCTGTACTGGAAACACGGACTTGGAGGTGCTACGGGTGGAATTTCTTGTTCTGCCATTCGAGGAAGGAAAGAAAATGTATTTTTTTGAATAAAAAAGTAAATTGAATAATCAGGATTGAGTACTAAGCTACCAGGATAACATAAATTATAAGAAGAGACCGTGGGGTGCACAGGCGCTAATTTAAGATTTGGTCCTTGGTGGTACCGGTGACCTCAGAATTGGTGCTTTCCTCACTCAACAGACGCAATACAGCAATGCCAGCATTTTTTTTATAGAATAGGGGGCAAACGTACTGGAGGCTCACCTGATGTTAAATGATACCGCCGCCCATGGACACTCTTAATGCCAGATGGCTCGCGAGTGCCTTTTAAGAATTGGTTTCGTAAAAAATGTGAGCCGTCACGGGACGCCTGGCAGATGTGAAACATCGACATGATTTTGTAAAAGTACTATGCAGAAAAGAACAGATTGTGATAGGAACTAAATATGTCATAATGATAAAATAAAATATTACGATTTTTTTTCCAGGTAACGATGACTGTTTATTGAATAAACATTTATTTTCATTAAATACAAAAATTTACGAATTTATTTCAAATCGTGACTACTTCATTCGTTTAATCAGTGACTTCGAAATGCACACACCGTACACACTACTGCATATAGACTGTATATATGTACCATCATATAGTGTGGCGACGCGTCGCCACGCCAGAAATCGGTTTTACGTGCGGCTATAGATGTTTCACATCAAAATCATTTGTTCATATAGGTAATACAATGTACACTTATGAACGTCAACAAAGAAATATACATTAAATACTTCAAATTTTACATTTACTGTCAGTTCCTAAATCCTAGAAAGAAAGCAGTGGGCAGCTGGTTCCACATAGTTAGTGCATAAAAGGTACTAAAGGGACTAAAGTATATACAATACACTTTTTGGAGTCTCACACCAGCGGAGTGAGTGTAAATGAACTGAAATCGACCTAAGAATGTTAACTTCTTTAGGTGCCTCTTTTTTTTCAAAAGAGTTTAATAAAGAGGCGTTTTAGTTGGATTTTTCGTATTGCAATTTAAGAGTGGGAGCCGTGACGTCACGGATTAGAGGCAAGTGCAGATTGTTGTAGGACAGAGACGAATGGACTTAGAGTGGAATGGAGTCGTTTAGTGTATTAATTAACTAATAAATTTATATATTTTTATTTCGTAATCAGCTAACAATATAAAAACAAACAATTATACTTAAAAATATAGCCTATATAACATAGAATAAATAATATTTACAAAAAGGATGTAACATTTAAAATAAAAATTATTCAATACATTAATTTGGCCGTGATAGTGTAAAACAAATTTTAAATAAAAAAACCATATTCCGAGATAGCTTAAACAAGTCAAGACTAAAATATTGGTCATTGAGAAAATGAGATTTTTGGCGATACTATTATATTTTCTTAACTATTTTATTTTGAAAATTATTCGATGATTAGTCTGTTCCTGTATTGTGACTATATTATTACGTTCTCTAGTTTAGGAGGCCAAGGTTTTGGGCCACAAGGGCCGTTCTTACTTTTTCTTTTTTTTTGATAACTAAAGCAGATTTACTGCAACTATCCCCCCCTCCCGTCCTCTTGTCAGAAAAAGTAAGTAAAGCTCTCGAAAATAATAGTAAATAAACGTATTAATTTTTGTGGGAATCCTCGTAAATGGATTTTGATTTCAAGCATAGACAATTACTGTTGACGTAATCACAAAATAATAAATAAAAAAACCCCTCCCCCCTATAGTGCGTACCTAATAATTGAAAGGCCCCACACCAGCGTTAACGACAAGCATTTAATTTTGAACAAAACTGTCGTGCTTTTTTCTAATAGGCAAGTAGGTGACTTTCTTTGCCTGACACACCTCGATTTGGGTCTGCATTACTATGGTTTCCTTAACCTTACTAGAAACTCCATTTTCCGTTTGAACATACAACCTAGATGCGAGTTTTCCAGCAATTTCATTTATTTATTAGCCTGGGTGAAGCATTGCATATACCCTTACGTATTCCCTCAGCGCAACTGCTTAGTGTGGGAGGGTAATGTGGGGCTCGCTATTGTGGAAACCCACTAAAACCCCAAGGAATGACCGATGAACGCGGTAGCGATGAGCCTTATCCGCTACACGACAAGCGATACGCCAGCCTCTCCACGTCAATTATTAGTTTGTGATGATACAAGATACATCAAGTTTCCTTCCACTTCGGGGCTGTTCGTTTTTCTACCTAAAGCTTCAATCAATCAAGTCCAGTGCTTGCAGAGATGCATCAGTATCCATTCTTTTGGACCCCGGCTTCCCCACTCGGGCACTTTTTGGGTGGTGAGGATTTGGAAAGCGCGTCGCGTACCACCTTCAGCTAGAACAACACAGCCCTAACTTCGCGACGAAGTATATAATGTACCATTACTGCGATGAACAGTATTAAAATAATAGCGACTCCTATCCATTCGCTATTCTCATTCCCAAAGGGTCGGTTTAAGTGCTAGATAAAGATAGAAATAGACATATTACAAGTGGAAAAGAGATGGGTATAGATAGATTAGAAAAGGAATCGAATGTCTCGTGACGATTGATGATTAATTGGAGTTTTTTATATTTCGCTTTGTACTTGTGGTATTGTGATTTCGCGATTCTTAAACCAGAAATTAATTTATTATTAAAAATAAATAAAAATAAAAGTGCGTACAAAGTACACATGTCAGAAGTGAAACTTCTTTGTAAATTAATGATTACTAAGGTAAAAGCCCCAATAGATGATCATGTACCAGTATATGATCACTCCATGTATTTGTATATCTATATTCACACTGTTTACACACTGTATATGTGCTAATGATAATATAAATAAATAAAAAATATGCGTTTACTGCACAAGACGTTATGCGACAGAATTGCCATCTAAAGTTCTAATATGTAACTATTAAACGAATAGCGTGTTGCATCATGCTACATTCGCCCTTTCTCACTCAATTGGTCTCAATCACACTCTCTTTTCATCGACAAAAACGCTGCACATCTACGTGACGTTTCATCCGTAAAAAATTCACCCTAAAGAAGTTTCACTTCAAACGTCGTTTTATTTAATCTAGCCCAGATTCATTAAAATTTAATGATTCTAACGGCACTGGACAATAGCGAGCCCTCTGGCATTGAGAGTGTTCATGGGCGGCGGTATCACTTAACATCAGGTGAGCCTCCTGCCCGTTTGCCCCCCGTTCTTTAAAAAAAAATAGATGCTCTGGAAATGTGGTGTTGAAGGTGGGATAAGAATTCCCTGGACAGCTATGGAAAGAAACATTTCCATACAGAGCTCCAGAACGTCTAGAATAACTCACAGACCTCGAAGCCATTTTAATCGCCATTTCTTTTCTTACACAACGTTTGTAAGGAGTTGCAACCATTACACCATGTTCCACATGACATCTTAAGTAATTAATAAAAATAACATGAATTAAAAAACCAAAACAAAGACTTGTCCTCTATGAGCAGGAGGCATGGTGAAATAGGAGCACGCACTTACATTCTCGTGGGAACAACACGCAAATACATAGTTCAAGTACGACCAGTCACCACAAGTAGCACCCGTTCACGAGCATGACGCATGGCCAGCCATCGGCCCCCTCGCCATATTTTAGGGAGAGAGACAACCCGACGTATGGACGCCGCCACAAGCAATGACATAGAGAAAAATCACAGAAAACCAAAAAAGTTTTCATTCCGGAAAACCGAACAGTCTCTGGGGTAGCTTAGCAAAATTGTATATGTTGGTATGAACTAAAAAGGTAGGCTAAGGAGAAACGAAGTTCGCGGGGGCAGCAAGTAATTAACAAACAGTTTGATTTCGTGTCACAAATATCTTTATATCTTTTACCGTGTTAAATTCACTTCATTTGAGAAGAAAGAACAATAGACCAGAACAATGAATTAGTCAAATATTGGACGGATCACGTTCGCGACGAACCACCGAGAAACGTAATGTGAAAGTTTTTGAAAACTACGGACTTTCGTCCTTATTAATAAAAACGCACGTTTTTTTAAAGTGAAACTTTAGGCGCATGAGGGTAAAATTTTTACGGAACGTCACGAAGATGTGCAGCGTTTTTTTCTTTAATAAAGATGTGCTAATTATTGTGGTGCAATTCTTTATACTTGAACACTGATGGTGTTTTTAATACATATTATTTTATTAAGTAACTAAATTACCATTTTTTTGCTAAGACCCAGTTGGCTATTTAAGGCAATGTGGACATAAGTTAGCAATTATGATAATAATGAATTTGTTATATTATTTGGTAATTGTTACTTATGGTGGTATTTCTATATAATAACAACTAATTTTAGTTCTGGTTTTTAATTAGCCTTAGTATCATTAATTAATATAGAGACTGGCAAAATTAAATGATGGGATTTGGGCAGCTTAATTACTCAATAATTAATTTACAAAGAAGTTTCACTTCTGACATATTGTGTACTTTATACGAATGCACTTTTTTTTATATAACGGGGCAAGGGGGCATGAAGCTCAAATGTTATCTGATATCGCCATGGACATTCTTAATGCCAGACAGCTCGCGAGTGCGTTGCCTGCCTTTTTTTCAATGGAATAGGGGCAAAACGGCCAGGAGGCTCATCTGATGTTAAGTGATATCTCCGCCCATGGACATTCCAAGCCAGAGGGCTTGCGAGTTCGTTGCCGGCCTTTTTTTCTATGGAACATGGGCCAAACAGGCAGGAGGCACATCTGATGTTAAGTGATACCGCCGCCCATGGACACTCAAAGCCAGAGGGCTTGCGATTTCGTTGCCAGCCTTTTTTTCTATAGAACAGGGGCCGAACAGGCAGGAGGCACATCTGATGTTAAGATACCGTCGCTCATGGACAAGAGGGCTCGCGTTGCTGGCTTTTTAAAATAGTTTTTGGACCCTAAGTCGAATTGGATCGGAAATACTTCAGTGGGGAGCTGGTTAATAAAAGGGTATCAGTTTGACATGTATGTATGTAGACCACGCTATATATATATATATATTCCCATAAATTACTTAGAAACTCAATCAGATGAGATGAGCCTCCCTGCCACCCTGTACTATAAAAAAAGGCCGGCAACGCACTTGCGAGCCTTCTGTGAGTGTCCATGGGTGTAACGTCAGATGAGCCTCCTACCCGTTTGCCTGTATTACATAAAAATCATGTGAAATTAACACATTATGCAATGTCATAGATAATATGATAATAAAGGCATAGCGTATCGGAACAAAGGGAATATTTATAGAATACTCAGAGGGTGGCAATTGACCTGAACGGGGGAGGGAGTAAAACTGTAGATATGGTTTTCAGTTCATACCATCCTTCCTCACTGAGGAGAGCGTCCGCGGTGTTAATAATAATAAATCAGTGACGCTCCAACCTTTTTAGGGGCTTAGATTTCTGTTTGTCTCATGATCATTTGTCAATCTAATAGGCAAGTGATCAGTCTCTTGTGCCTGACACACGGTGACAACTTTTTGGGTCTAAGGTTGGTTTTCTCACGATGTTTTTACCGTGCAAGCGAATGTTAACCGCACATGTAGACAGAAAGTCCACAGCCACGGATCAAACCTGCGATCTCAGGAATGTAAGTCACACGCTGAGGTCAAAACTGCAATAATAATAAAAATAAAGCCACTTTAATTCCTCTACAAATAATACAAAGTAAATAGATGTTAGTTTTGTTTAATTATTTATACACTTTAGTCATTGCTATTGCCATCATTCAAGTTATGGATTTGGTTGTTCTGGATATGTTCAAAATAAGTAAATATATCATTGTCATATTAACAAATGTAATTAATAATAGGAATTTTGAGTATCTGTATTTTAATCTATGTAACGTTAAGGAGTCAAAGACAGAATGATACGAGGCACGTCTCATTGTGCTGGGCTTACATGCAGCGCATTTTTCATTATTATAACACAATAAATCTTTCAATAGATCAGTGAAATTCATTTATTTATCACTTTCGTAATCAAACAACTATTTAATAAATGATAACAAACAAGAATTATACTAAAAAGTAAAAACAGCAAAAAAAAATATATTACACACAAATATAAAAATAATCAAAAAATAATAGATAGAAAATTAAACACATTTAAAAAGTTTGGTCCCTGTGGCAGTGTACCTTTAACGCTGGCAGCATTTCCTCGCTGTATTGCGAGACTTATTCTTTGAGCCAGGAAAGTGCCAGCTCTGTGGTCACCGGTACTATCTACCAGGCGCCAACTTAAATCTTTAATTAGTGCTTGTGCACTTGAACCGACCAATAAACTTTTTTTCTGTTGTATTAATTAATTATCATTAGTACCGTGAGTGTTTAATATAGAGAAATAAATTAATTAAATTATAATTTTACAAAGTTATCTACGCCTAAACATAGATGGCGCAATTCGAATAAATTACCATAATACGTAATAAGTAGAAACGATATATTTATATTATAGAACCAGGACTATGCATACTCTCAGTTATAGAGGGCTCGCAAGTGTGTTGCCGGCATTTTAAAAATTGCTACGATCTTTTGAAGAATTCTTAAGTCCAATTGGTTCGTTCATAATTTACTAGGTAGAGGTTTTCACATAGCGATAGAAACTGGCTTAAAAAACGCTCAGTTGTGGAACGACGGACGTCGAAGTCATACGGGTGGGATATTCTAGCTAGACTTTTATTAAAATAGTAGATAAATTTTGAAAATGATACGTCAATACATTTATTACGCGTAGCTACAAGAAAATAATTAGTAATAATAATAATAATTTATTGCAAGAATATGGTACAAAAATGGGTAAGGTGGTACAATCGTAAGTTCGCATATTCTGCCACACACAATGGCGCGCAAATTTGTCTTAAGGAATTTTACATTATTAGTCAAAGTCAATTCTTATATTATTTTTATCGTACATATCATAGTTTATTAAATATATATCAACTACAATGTCTCACGCAAATAATCATTTATTGAATAATACATTTTTTTAAAGACTAGTCGGAAGATCTTTTAATTCTTTTGGTAATTTATTGTTAACCTTAATTCCTAAACAATTCCAGATTGATTTTTGGCACAGCCAATTTCTCCCTATGTCTACTTCTTCCTTCGACTTCTACATTCGACTTAAAAATATATGTTTATGTGCACGAATTAATATATACGGCTGATATTAACGCCCGATACGCCAAAATGGCGTCATGTAACCCCACCCTTCGCATTCAACAGGCTGGCGCTGACATGGAGAGGGGCGATCCCCCGCAGAGGGAGATGGGAATCGAAATTCATCCCATTCCAGCATTTCTGACCCGGTTTTATTAAAATATTGCATTAGCACGTGACGCCTCGCGAATTGGA